CCTTCCTTCCTTCCTTCCTTCCTTCCTTCCTTCCTTCCTTCCTTCCTCCCTCAATAACTCAGTTAGAGACTCCATAACAACTGAAAGTTGATAAGACTTCAATGCAAATGAGTAAAGTTAGTTCCAAAGACTTTACACATCTTTTGCCCACTTCTTTTGACCCATGATATCTATATCTATCTTTTCATATGATACATCAACTTTTTCTCTCTTCTGGATAGAATGTACTGCTCCAATGGTTTACTTTGACTGCAGAAATGCCACCACTGACAGCAAAGGGGCCGGATGTCAGAAAAGCTGCCAGACTCTTGATAGTTACTGTGTAAGTATTGAGGCCCTATCTGAGAGATTGTATTACAAATAAGAAAACAGTTTCCTATGCCATGAAGCCATAAATTAATCTTAGACAAGTCACTCTTTCCCAGTCTCACCTTGCCCAATTCCTTCTAGATCCTATTGTTCCATCTTCTTCAGTGTCTTTCATTTATTCAGAAACATACCATTATTATCTAAAATACACATATACAGATAGAAAAACTTCTGGATATGGACAGTTATTAATTCAGGTGGCCATTCCCTAGTGGCAATTCTAGCTGAATTAACACCAACATTGTGTTTAAATTGAGTCACTCTTATTTAACGTAGACTGGAAAAGCAAATTATTTGACTGCTTATTTGCTCTCTCCTGAGTCATATTTTATTCTTGATGCTCACAGTACACCTCAAAGTGTGTCTCTGGTTGCATATGTCCAGACGGGCTAGTGTCAGATGGGAAAGGTGGTTGTATTCCTGTGGAAGAATGCCCATGTATTCACAATGAGGCCACATATCAGCCTGGAGAAAATATCAAAGTTGACTGTAACACTTGGTAAGCATTTGCTAGTGAACAGAGTATTTTTTGTTAGATAAAATGGCCATATTGTCCTTGGGGGACCCCCCCCCCCCAACAGCAACATACCAGATTAAAAGCAAACTGGCAAGGGTCATGATGCATATTTCACCTAAGTACCTAAAACTATAATATAAATATATCATGAGCCAATTTTAGAAAAATATATATTCTATTTTTCAAATAATTTTCTTTCTTGAATTCATGATTACAGTTTTTTGTTGTTTGTAATCTGGCTGTAAGGGCCAGGAAATATGGAGCTATGATTAATCATTTCAATATAGCTTGTTTCACAAGGTTATTGTGTTCTGTACACTGCTTTGAAAAGGCAGCTATGGAAGGGAGGGAGGGAGGAATTCAATAATTCCCATTTGTACCATCCCTCATATGAAAAGTACATGGAAATGTGCTTTTGGATGTGAAAATTTTTTTTTAATGGATGTATATATTTTACATCTTTTAAATCTTCTGTGTTCTTTATAAGCACATGTGCAAAACAGTTTTCCTCTGAAAAATACCATTCTCGGTATGACACATATTGGGAGGTTTCCGAAATTCCCAACTTTTGAGGCAAGAGTTGAAATAGATTCCAGGAGGATAGCAGGTCAGAGAAGAATGCAATGTAACCTCATATTCAGTTACTCAGCAACTTTTATTATGGAACACTGACTTTCATAACGGAATGGGACAATTTGCCATGGCCAACTTGCTACAACCAACTTGCCATGATTAAATCGCCATGGGACAACAACTTGTTGCAAGAAAATTCAACAAATACAAAAGTTAAATTCATTTCCACGGAACCATGGCCAATAATAATAAAATGAAGTCAATCCAGAAATATAAGAGTTACAATCATTTCAATGAAAACATGGTCACCAATAATAAAAGTGACTGAATGAAATTAGTAATACAGGCTTGAATGGCAAGTTGTCCCGCGGCAAGTTGGCTGTGGCAAATTGGCCGTGGCAAACTTTCCTAGACCCTCTTCATAAATAACAAGGAAAACCTAATGATTCAGAGCAAATCTGAAAATGCTGTCCATTCTTTTTCTATAAAACAGAACAGCAACTTTAAAATATAATTCAATTTTCTTTAAAAAGTACTTTACATTAAAATTCAATTCCTTTGCTTTTTTACTTTTATTGTTTCTTAATTTCTTAAATGACATTATGGTATATACAATACTGTTTCAGTTTCTTTTCTTTCCTTTCCCATATCCTTGCCTCTTCACACTTAGTCTATCACCAGTTCATGAGACAATTATTTAGCTGAATTCTACACTACTAAAATATAGTGTTAATACATGAACACTGTACACAAAATTGTTTTTATGGGTGCAAATAGAATTATTCTTGAAACATATTTTCCCTTTTCTTATTTTAGTGTATGTAAGAACAGGATGTGGAAATGTACCATGAAGAAGTGCCTATCAACCTGTGCTGTTTATGGAGATGGACATTATATCACCTTTGATGACAAGCGTTATATTTTCAGTGGGCAATGTGAATATACACTCTTGCAGGTATCAAGCATTGCTTTCTTGTTTTTACTGGAGAAACTGTCTGGAACTAATACAGAAGGCAATATTTTTTGTATAATTTTATCCCCTTCCTTTTTAGAATTATTGTGGCCAGAACAGTTCCACCCAGGGGTTATTCCGAATCATCAGTGAAAATATTCCTTGTGGCACCACTGGCACCACTTGTTCTAAATCTATTAAAGTGTTCTTCAAAGTGAGTAACATTGCTGCTGAATTGATGATCTACCATTAACTCCCTGATATTAAAAAAATAAAATCTTCCAAAATAACTTATTTTAATTAAAGAGGATGGTATAGTCAGCTCCTTCATCCAACTACTTTTGTTGAGCACATGGAGTATTACATTTGGGATACTGATATAGTTATTCCCTCTGTTTCATGCCAAATTGTATTGGAAATGTAGGCAAATAAAGAGAGAAGGCTAAACTGATTTAATTCTTGTGCGAAATTAAAAAAAACACAGTATGTCAAATATCCTATTGAACATGTACAATACCTAGACTTCCCTAGAAATGCCCTATGCATTGCATCAGTTTTAAAAACATTGAAGATATAGTTAGGAAAGTAGTTAGTGCAAATAAGAATTCATTTAAGGCACTTAGAATAATAGATAGAATGAACTGCCTTGAAGAAGAGGAGAAAGAGCTGCTACAAGATAACACTCAGATAACCTGTGTCCTGGATAGAACTATAACTTGAGAAAGTGACTCATACAAGACCTTCTTTGTTTTCATGAACGTGAAAGGAGATAAAAAGTGGATTCAGAGTTACAAGATTTTGTTTCTTCAACAATAATAAAAGTAGGTTTAGCCTGCATGAGTTTGATGTCCTAGTCTGGTCTAGCTCAAACAGCTGACACTGCTACCATTGCTGTACCTATCCCCACAGACACAGTTTCTGTAAAGTCCAGTGCTGTTCTTCCCTGTTCTATATATTATTTTTATTAACTGGATGATGCAGGTGATATTTATTTAAGGAAATATTCAGCTTTTGTCTACCCTATTGGCTAATAAAATTACTGTTATACATATTTTTTTGATAAGTAACTCAAAAGGTAGCTTTAGGGTCTTTGTTTGATATTTTGGTTTTGTAATCAATAAAGTTTTGTGTTTTTTTTTTAAAAAAGGTAGCTTTAGAAAATTGTCATTCTTTCCTATTATTTGTTCAACTCTTCCAGAACTATGAACTGATACTTACCGAAGAGCAGTATAAAGTGGTAAAAAGAGAGAGTGGAGGTCAAATACCTTATAGAATTCATCAAATGGGCATCTACTTGATGATTGAGATTCAGAAAGAACTAATTGTCTTATGGGACAAGAAAACAAGCGTATTTATCAAACTTGGTGCAGAATTCAAGGTGAGATATCATTTAAAAGTCAGGCATATTGTCTCTTCATTTACTGAAGATTCTATTAAAGAGTTTGGTAAGACTGCCTGATTGGCACATGATTTTGAGCGGCTAACAATCAACAAAATAATATAATTAAAAGCACTGCAACAACAGCAAAGCTATACTCACCAAACAAAGCCCAACAGCAATAAACTAGGCTCACTACTTGCCTAAATGATGCTAGAGTCCCCTGGAGTCACTCTGGCAAATGGGTGTGCAAATAAAATATCAAATCTTGAGGCAAGGGGTGTGTTCTATAGGGTGGGGTCCTTTTACAGAGAATTTGTGTTTCCTGGGTCCCATTAGATGACATTGCTTAATAGAGAGGACCTGGAGCACATCTTGTGGGAGAAAGCAGAGGTATCTGCAGTGGAGGATTCAATTTTTTTTACTACCAGTTCTGTGGCCGTGGTTTGGTGGGTGTGGCTTGGTGGGCATGGTAGGGGAAAGATACTGCAAAATCCCATTCCCTCCCCACCCCTCTAACCTGCTTTCCAGCTCTGTTCTCCTGTGCAGGGCAACAAAAGAAGACCCAGCCGATCAGCTGGGACTCAGGAGGCAGAGGATAGTTGGGGCCGGGGCCAGTCAGAGGCAGTATTTGCCGGTTCTCCGAACTATTCAAAATTTCCGCTACCAGTTCTCCAGAACTGGTCAGAACCTGCTGAATACCACCTCTGGGTATCTGGAGACAGGAGAAGAAGGAGGTCTGGATGGATTAGCTAATTGGAAACATTGGTTCACCTATACTGTATTTTCTACCATTTTAAAAAACAATGTGTATTCATTCTTTAATTCCCTAGCTCACTGTCTAAAGTCCTAGTAAAAAATGATTTAAAGTTAAGTGCACAAAAGAATTAAAGGTTGGATCCATAGATATGTGTACATAATTGGAATAGTAAAAAATGTCTTTTCTATCTTGCCTTCTTTACACTAGCTCTTCCAGCTCTTTAAAAATACCACATAGTAAGTTGAGATCCTGCTGAATCAGAAAGAAACTGCAGAGTAGATTGGCTGAATCCTCATTCAAAAACATTTTAAAAACATGCCTCCCATGGATGGATTTCCTTAGGTGTTTGGCAACAACTGACATAGCTGGAACTGTCTTATAAAAAGAACATTCATCTAGATTTTATCTAGACTTGTAGTCAATAAAGTCCCAGTCATGCTGGAAAAAAAGGAAGGAATTCTCAAAAATTGTCCTAAAAGTTAAGGAATCTTCAAGGGATCATAGAAAGACGTGGGAAATCAGTGAAGATTCTTCCGCTATAGCATGCTTCAAGATCTACTGGATCAAAGAGAAGGAACTGTTCTATTGGATTTATTTATTTATTAGAAATATTTGCCACCCATCTCACTTTCACACAAGTCTGAGTGGCTTACAAATATTAAAAGCCAATAAAACCGTGAACAATAAATATTCTTAATAACAGGATAAACTAGTTTAAAAGATGGGGAGGAAGGGAGCAGGATGTGCTGGGTTAGAAGTAGGGTCTTCTCTTAGCTACCTTCAGCGTGATATATCCCCATTAGGGTCTGAAGCCAACTGGAAGAATAAATCTGCAGCAGTCTTTTAGATCCTAAATTAACACTTCTCATAAATTAAATAACACTTTTTCCTTCCCTCCTTCCTTCTTTCCTTCCTTCCTTCCTCCGTGCCTGCCTGCCTTCTTTCTTCCTTCTTTCCTCCCTCCCTCCCTCCTTTCCTTTTTCGCTGTATATTTGTTGACTTCTTTGCTAGTTAAGTAGTAAGTAATATTTTAGCAACATAATTCAGTATCATGAACATGATACAAAATCAGTAGCAAATGTCTCAAAATGTAAACATAAGGCTACATACAAGTTTTATTCTTTTATTGAATTTTACTTTTAAAATAGGAAGAAAGGAACATTTCCTATTATAAATGAACCTTAGAGTTGGTGGTATGTCAATTAGTTAAACAGAAAAACCAAGCATTAAATGTACTACACATTCTCTAGAATTCAATTGATTTGTATGCTCCTTTCTTCAGGGTGAGGTCTGTGGACTGTGTGGGAACAATGATGGAAATGCAGTTAATGACTTTACAACTCGGAGTCGATCTGTAGTAGGTGATGTATTGGAGTTTGGAAACAGTTGGAAGGTATCACCCACATGCCCTGATGCCAAATGTGTCAAGGATCCTTGCTCCAAGAATCCTTATAGGAAAGCATGGTCACAGAAGAAGTGCAGCATCATCAACAGCGAAGTCTTCGCTGCCTGCCACTCTCAGGTACACTAAACAGATTTTTCAAAGATCATTCTTTCAGGTGGCAATCATGCCTGCCTACCTGCCTACCAGTTGTCCTGAATTACAGCCTTTCATTTAATGATGGTTTGAAGTTATGATGTCCTGTCACACCACCCCAGAGGTCAAATTATCACTGTCATTTTGTGATCATCTTCCTAACCAGCTTCCACAAAGCAAAATCAGTTGCAGAAGCCAAATTCACTTAAAGACCACACGATTCACTTAAAAGCCACATCATTTACTTAAAAAAAAAACAGGTAAAAATTGTCATAAAATTGGGTCAGATCACGTGATGACTCGCTTAATAGCAATAGCGCTTAGACTTACATACCGCTTCACAGTGCTTTACAGCCCTCTCTAAGCCACTTACAGAGTCAGCCTATTGCCCCCAACCATCTGGGTCCTCCTTTTACCCACCTTGGAAGGATGGAAGGCTGAGTCAACCCCGAGCCTGGTGGGATTCGAACTGCCAAATTGCAGTCAGCCGGCAGTCAGCAGAAAGAGCCTGCAGTACTGCACTCTAACCACTGTGTCACCATGGCTCAATGGCCACATCCTTTAGCAAATGAATTTTAGTCACCTTTAGTCAATATTTTGCACAAATGTTTGAAAGAATTGTCACTTGATCAAAAGATGTAGTGTCTGTTTCATTTCTTCAAAGGTGGAACCAACTAAATACTATGAAGCCTGTGTGACTGATGCCTGTGCTTGTGACACCGGGGGAGACTGTGAATGTTTCTGTACAGCTGCAGCTGCATATGCTAAAGTATGTAGTGATCATGGCATATGTGTGTCATGGAGAACTCCATCGATTTGCCGTGAGTATCATATATGATTGCATGGACAATGACAACCCAAAGCTGGGAAGTGAAATATCAACTTGGAGATTATAACATCCCCTGAGTATATGACAATGCTCTCATACTATGCCTTATCATAAAAAGCAATGAAGGAAACATCTAGATATTTGTGCAACTGTTAATATTTATTAAATCAACAACTGGCCAACCTGTGATACAAAACTGAAGTCTGACTCTTCATGCTAGATGTGGGGTGGGGAACAATAGCCCTTTTATGACTTGGAGACTACAACTCCCAGAATTCCTGAGCCAGCAATGCTGGCTCAGGAATTTTAAGAGTTGAAGACTACAAGTCATAAAGGGGCCATCTTTCCCCACCTCTGTACTAAATAGATATTACTTCAGGTGTTTCAATCAAGTTAGGGCACCATTTCATCTAATACCTGAGTGGTTATCTTCCAGTCATTAAAATGCAAGCATTAAAATGTGATTATTTTCATAGTGACATAAGTTCTAGCATTTATCAAGAATTAAGATGTTTGATTCTTCATGGTTCTCTCTTGGTTCCCTTAGCCATGTTTTGTGACTATTACAATAATGAAGGTGGATGTGAATGGCACTACAAACCTTGTGGAGCCCCATGCACGAAGACCTGTAGGAATCCAAGTGGGAGGTGTGCTTATCATTTACCTGGCTTGGAAGGTGAGAAGATGTTTCTTATCACATGTATACCAGTTAGTGTTATAACATGCTATTTAATCGTTGGCTAATACCTTGTATGAGCATAATGATTATTTATAGCATAGTAGGTCAAAGTTATCCCTCTATAAAGAATGTCACCTTGCTTAATGTCTATTATGTTTCTGTCTTTGGCTTTAAATAATTTGTAGTTAATCCTTCTGAGACTCTCCCAAGGCACGGAGCTAGAAATCTAGCATCAGATTTAATGATTCACCTACTTTAATATTTGTGAGTCTGAACTGAATAGAATGTTCGCTTTTTCTTTCTGCATCTTTTATTTCAATATCAAGTTGCAGATTGAGGGGATTCATAAAAAGGCAAGACACCAGTATTTCATCCATTTTTTTTTAATTCTCAGTAATGATCAGGAATATTTGGGCTGTGAAGAGAATTCCGAAAGGGATAATTGGCAAAAAGAAAAAGGGGGCTTTCATATATCATTTGGAAGAATTTGAACATTAAACTGATCACAGCTATAAAATACATATACCAAAGAAATCAATGGAAGGAGGGAGGATGAATTCTAAATTAGAATTAATGTGGAGGGCCAAACCAACAGGGCTATGAAGATGTATACACACACACACACAAACATGTAAATTGAAAAAAAATAGCAATTACCTTCAAAGTAAAAGCAATGAAATTATATTGCATGCATGGCATACAGTTATTTGCATTTGATTTCTAATTGACCTCCTGTGGGCCAGATAGGGAATCTTGGTCTTGGAATTGGTCCAAAGCAGCTTAAATGCTGATTGTGACTCATCACTTTGTTTGAATTCAATATCATCCTGATTATTGGTTTTTCTTTGCCCTTTATCCCTACCTTCCACTTAGGCTGCTATCCAAATTGCCCAGGAGATAGGCCTTATTTCAGCGAGGAAGAGATGAAATGTGTTAGCGTTTGCGGCTGTTATGATGATATGGGTAACTATCATCAGTTAGGAAAAACCTTTACTACTGGAGAGGTGTGTCAATCATGGTGAGTAATAATAAACACTACAAGCCTTGGAACAGTAGGCATATTCAGAATACATGTTGCAGTGACTCCAAAATGACCCTGTTCATTTTCATACACTTACAATAAGGTGTTAATTCATCATATGGTTGATTGGTTATGTGCTATCAAGGCATTGTTGACTCTTAGTAACTACACAGATAGATTTTTTTTTAAGTAATGATCCATCCTTAACCTGGGTTTTCAGGTCTTCCAGTGCTACACCCATTGTCATTGTAACTGAATCCATCCATCTTGCTGGTAGTTATTCTCTTCTTAGCAGAATCTATTTGGTAGAAAAAACAGCTTCAGTTCAATTTTAATGTGTGTGTGTTATGATACATATAATAACATTATAGATGTATGTGTGTGTGTGTGTGTATGTATGTATGTATGTATGTATGTATATTATTTATATATATATATATATTTGTGTGTGTGTGTGTGTGTGTGTGTTATTCAGCTTTGTTCGGGTATTTTCCCACGTCATTATAGTTGTGCTTTTAAAGTTGTAGCAACGTTTCGGCAAAATCTCATCTGCCATCATCAGGCTTCTGTATTGTGTTCGTCTGTGAGTCAGACTTTTACAGTTGTTTCAGTTTTAAATTTGGGGCTAGCCTACTGCTGTGCCAGAATGGTTTTTTCTTCATCCTGATTGGTTGGGAATCTTGGTCTGTGTTTATTGGTCTTGGAGTTTGCTGTGTTCTGCTTGATTGGTGTTTCTAATATCTTCTGTCTGTTTTGTGGCTTTTTTTGTGTCTTGATTGGCTGGCAACATTGTGTTCCTTAATTAACCAAACAATTTGGTTCCTTTGAAATTAATTTCATGTCCTGTGGCCTCCCTCTTCCAGCACCTTAAAGCCACAGGACATGAAATTAATTTCGAAGGAACCAAATTAATATCCAACACTGAACACTCCAGCAAGAGAATAATCAGGGAAGGGGAAGCCATTTAGATAGAGAAACACCCCCATAACATGAATAGACGGGATGATACCTCCCGCCTACCAGACATCTGGAAACTAGCCCTCACCAACAAATGAGTCCCAGCCACAAAAACCAACACCAGACCCAAAACAACACGGGACACCACCGCCAATCCCCCTCATCAGACCCAGGCCCAAGCCCATCCTATAAACAAAGGACAACCACCATCCAGAAAACAGACTATGGCTGCTTTGCCAGCTGTCGCATCCCCCAACCCCCAAATCAAACAAGCTGACACATGCCAAGAACACAGACCCAGACCCCAAACTCGAAGCCAGACTAAAACCCAGAATGCTACATCACAGCCACCCGCTCAGGATATCACATCAGAAAACTCAGGAAATTACACCACAAGAACTCAAGAAGTTGCAACACAGCAAACGACCCAGGAAATCACAGCACAAGACCAAGGATACCACAGCAATAAATCTCACAAGGTCACCACACAACCCATTACCCAAGCCGTTACAACACAGGAGGCTAATGGAAAAGAGATCAAAACACAAACGACCCAGGAGATTAAAGCACAAGATCCAGGATATCTCCACAACAAAACTCACAAGGCCATCCACAGCCCATTATACCAACATCAACTCCATCAACCAATCAAGAGGCAGCAGCGCAGCCAACCAGCCCAGCACACTAGCCCCCCCCCCTATTTATAGAAAGACGGCAGCTCCGATCACACATTGCTTGCACTGGCACGAAGCCGAAAGCACCAGCCTGAGGATGGCGAGTGGGACCTCACCGAAACGTTGCCAAGATACTCTTAATCTTACATGGGAAAAGACCCGAACATACCTAGACCTACATACCTGTACCCATGAAAATCTATGAATATCTATATATCTATATCTATATCTATATCTATGTCTATGTCTATGTCTACATCTACGTCTATGCCTACGTCTACGTCTACGTCTATGTCTACATCTACGTCTACATCTATCTATCGATATAGATATAGATATAGATATAGATATAGATATAGATATAGATAT